AGCTCCAGCCTGGGACAGCACAGATTTGAAAGCTACAGGGGAGTATTTCCCAGGTGATGCCTGTGGTCCATGTGCCCGCAAGGCTCCCTTCATCCACCCGGCTTCAAACCTGACACAGCGAGACGTGGTTAACTGTGTGCTGCACCCAGAGAGCCTTCTGCAGTGACAGTGTCTGAGCTCTCATATCCAGCACAGGGAGGGGAAAAAAACAAACCAAAAGCCATACAGATGATCTGCATCTGTAATAGAGTAATACCCCTATTGCAGCTCAACAGTCTCAAAATATTAATTTGTCAAATATGAATGATAAAGCTATAACATTTCATAATTCAGGACACACTCAAGTACTAGGAAAAACAGCAACAAGAGCCTAAATAAAAAAAAACACTATGTATTCCATTTTTGACAGTTTAATGAATGCCCTACTCTTTTGCATTGATTTTTGTGTGAGTGTGTCTGTGTGTGCATGTGTGCCTGGGAAGGATTTCTCATGGGGTTTGCTGTAAACAAGGAAAGCTAAATCCTCTGCCAAACCTTCTTTTTCTACCTTTAAATAACCTCCACATTATACATTTCAGGAGAGAATATATTCAAAAGTACTGAGAATGCAAAAATACAGAACAATTACATCACAGCAAGCACATGGGGAACTTGCAGGACAAGACATTCAACAATCAAATACCTCGATCTGGTGAAACAGCCACGGAAGCAGAATGTGTTAATTTCTGCTTTCAGAAAATAGCAGTAAATTCAAAGAGCAGCATCAACAAAGCCTTAAAATCTTAAATTCATGGCTGATTCCAGAACACAAGTTTGCCTTCCACACCTAAAGGCTCATCTTGCAAGGAAAAAAAAATCATCAACAAAAAAGTCGGCAAGCGCGTCAAGATAGAAAAAATAATGCAACATAAAAAGAACTGTGCCACTTTACATTGAAATATTCTGGCCAGCTGGATCTCTGCTTTAATGTTTTTCCTAGATCTTAAGAGAATGAACTTTGTATAATTTAAATGGAGATTAATTCTTCCATTTAAAGTGCTTTAAAATAATTCTGCCCATGATCTGGAGCCCTCAGCCCAGCTCCCCCTCAGTGCCTCTCCTCCAGTCTTCCCAGAGCTACCTAAGTGGAACTGACAGATCACTGCTCAGATAGCAGCCACGTTCTCCCCCCCAAAATGTTGCCTTTTTGCTATTCAGGAGTATCCTAATACCAACAAATGCTAAATGCAGTCTGACATGTACCCCTAAGAAACAAACTTGTAAGTTGTGGCTTCAAAGAAAACCTTGAATAAATAGGACACATTGTGTACACCCAGGCTAACATCCAACATATGCTCTGGTTTCCTGATGCCCAGACAGAGCAAGAATAGCCTCTGGTAAAGGCTGTGATTTGCTGTTGCTGGTGCTTCCAACATTTATAATCTAGCATTTTTTATGTTTTTTTTTTTCTTTGCCTGCATAAACAATTTTAAAAAACGTAATTAAGAAGACCACAGCAACATTTCAGAACACAACACACTCATGAATAATGGATGACTTGACACTCCACGAGTCTGATCAACAGTTACAAACACAACCAAGTGCCTTCCTGATCCTTCCTTTGTAAAGAAACACTGTCACCAGTCAGGCACAACAGGACAGGTGGTTTTATCCAATAAAAAAAGTAACCTACATAATGAATCTTTCTAATTCTTTCCTTCGGTGGTGCTGATCACCACGTCAAGCAGTGGGATGCAGCCAGTAGGTGCTATTAACAAATACCAACACAACATACTATGAAAGAGACAGGAATAGAGAAAAGCAAGAAAACAAAACTACATTTAACTGCACATACAGAATCAGTTAAGAAACATCATTCTTAAAGACAAATTTATTATTTGTATTTAAGGAAGACAGAGAAGAGAAAGAGATGACCTACTTGGAGACATATTTATATCTATTTTCACTATTATTTAATGCTCTATTTTATGACAAATCCCTCTGAAAGACCTAAAAGGAATTTAATTCAATCTTATCATCCCCCTCTCCAAGTTCAATTCCCTTTCCCTTTTGCCTTCCATTCCTCCAGATTTAGGGCATGCAATTATAACATGAAAAATCAAGTACAATCATGTACAAGATACAAGGGTGCCTGCTGAAACCTGTTTAGTATTTGCCTACTAACCACCATTTCTTTAAATTCTGCAGAGAAGCCTGGGTAACTAAGCTGAAGTCTTGCAAATAAAGCATCACAGGGCCAGATATACTGCCATGACAAGTAGTTTCACCAGCAGCAAAATTTCAAGTCTATTTTTGCCATCTCACACCAAATTAGTCTCCCAGAGTCCTGCCAGCCTTGCAGCTCTGCCTCCTGAGAACTGCTGGAGTCTCTGCCAGGCACCTGATTTTATGAAACTTGCACAAAGAAACAGAGAGATGGCACAGTCCTCTTTCTGCATTAAGCTGCTCTTCAGTACTTTGCACACTTCCTTTTCTTTTTTTTTGTTTTCCTATTTGGCACTTCTTTGCTTTCAGCCCAGAGTGTGGGTTTGCTTCCTCCTGCTTGGGAAGGCCCCAGGACACCACAGACCCCTTTACCCAGCTCTGCACTGTGCTGTTGTACAGATGTTCCCCACCTAAAGACCTCATGGTCTCCTGTTGCTGAATTTTCACATTTTGCAACACTGCTTAAAACAATTACTTGTCCATGAAACCAGAAGACTAATTTTAAGGGTATCTTGTAAGTGTGTATCTTTTGAATGCTGGAGTAGGAAGTAGCTATGGTACATCCAAACTATCTGTTTCATCAGAAAAAACTTCAATAGATTACAAATAGATTTCAATTTATAGTGCTCCTATCAGAAGAGTAATTACAGTTGAGAGAACCACTTTGTTCTTCTTGCATGCTCCTGGGATCCCTTAAAACAGACTGAGGGATGGCTTATGATCATGAAAAAAGGAATCTGAATTGCTTCTATGGATGCGATTTACAGCAGCTCTTGCCACAGTAGACAGAAAATAGCACATAACCCCATAACAAATTTTGCTTCTAATTAGCCTCTTAATTCCTCTAGACCTTAAAAATAAGATAGAGAAGATGCAGTCTCCATCAGAGATAGGTAAAAATCAAGTCCATCCTTTAAATCTCACCTTCCTTCCAAATAATAACATACACATCCATATTCCTGCTCATATATATATAAATATTTTCTTCTCTATCCTGCTGGGCTTCATATGAGAAAACTTGCAGTTATCAACATGTGCTTTTTCCAGAAGCCTCCTAAATACTAGCTGAGTCCAGGGTGTTTGGAGAGTCCCTCCTCCTTCTTCGCAGCACAAAAGCCCCTATTGATAAGCTGATGAATACTGTCAACACAGCTCTAAAAGGGAAAAAGAAATACCTTTATAATCCATTTTCTGTGGAGACCTTTCTGGCTGCCAAAAGGTCAGCTTTACACCACCAGGTACAAACTACCTAGAACAGTACCACTACTGAAGGACATCAGTATTTAAGCTATTTATTCATCCTCCAAGCCTGCAAGGAATCCATGGATTTTTGCCCTACCCTGAACACAAGGACATTTGGATATTACCCAGCAGGCCCCTTTACCAGGGACATTTACCAGAACTTGCTGTCCTGGGAGGAAAGTGCAGAAGACTAGAGAAGGGGGAATACCCATCTAATTGAAAAGACATCCTGAAACAGTGTACAAATCTGACGCAAGAAAAAAAAATACTCCATCTTCTAGATAGGCCCCCACAGCCAAGTGGGTCAAGAAAGCAATTCTGGCAGCACATCCCAAAACTTCAACTTCAGCAGGGAACTTGCCAGCATCTAGGATTTGCAGCAGTCCAGTACTTTTAAAATGCTGAAGTCGTGACAGTTTGGGGGTGCACCTTGCACGGCATGAAGCAGTACTGAGACACAGCAGTTGGGATGAAGCTGAAGACACCTGTACATCAACACCAACACTAATACTCTGGAAAAGCAAAGCTTCTAGGTAGTCATTAGCCAAGTAAACCCACCAAACTTTCACCAGTTTTGTTTCAGATTGCCTTGTGCCTCGAGAGAGGCACTAGACTCCTTTCCCAGAAGACAGCACAAAGATTTATCCTCTCTCCCACTAACAACAAGCTGATGCTCCTTCCAAACAGGGATATACATGAACACTTTTCAACGTGAAAACTCCTCCGTCTAGATGACTACAATGAATTCTGTTAAATCATCATTCTATTCAGAATGAACACCAAATTACCTGCAGGAAGCACCTTTCTTTTTTCCCCACTCACTGATTTTGTGTAAGTGTCACACAAAAACATACCTAAAACTACCTGATACAATAGATTAAATAACTAGAGCTGGAGGCATTTTTCTTCTCACGAATTTAGAATCCTTTACTTAAAGGGGTTTTGACAGAAACCATTCATGCCTTTTAGCAATCTCTAGTATTTGATGACAATTACAATGAATGCTGTCTTTGCAGAGCAACCACTTCTATTGCTGATACAAAAAGTCATCAATCCAGGCCATATCCAACCCAGGGGGAAGAACTACAACCAGCAGCCAGGTCATCTAGTTATTTAGTCTGAAGTTATTGTTAATAATTGTTATTATTCAGACTTCCAGTCTGAAGTTATTTGCACAATGGAAGTGCTACAGCAAACCATGTAACAGTACTGGAATGATCACACTTTCTTGACTTGTGTCACCTCAGAAAAAGTGTTCAGTCTGAGAAGGTTACAGGAAAATCACTAATAGCTGGGAAGTTGCTGGGAATTACCAGAACATAAGAATGTTGCCACATCACTAGCCAAGAAAACTATACATTCTCTCCTAAGTTACTGCTGTGCAAAACATAATTTATCTACCAAATTAGCTTTTAAGATGCCAGTTGAATCATTCAGGTTGTCATGCTTCCTTTTAGAAAATCAGTGCACATGACCTACAGCTGCACATTTGTGTTCCCCTCCCATCAAAATACAGCACAGGGTGACAAGGAGAGCACAGAAAGGCCACGTACCATCATAGTAGACAATAGCTCCAACAAGCTCATCTTTGCGTAGCATTGGAAAGAGTTCCAGGGCCCTGGACTTGCTGAGGACATAACTGCTCTTCAGACATTGACTTCCAGCCACAAGGTCATACAGTTTTATTCCAAGCCAGTAGTATGGCAACTGCCACCATCTGCAGGGAAAAAACAACAACAACACACACCCCATGAAGTGAAATTGAAAAAAAAGTAAAGCTGCAGGCACACACTGCTGCTGCAACAGAATGTGGTGAGTAGCAGGGTTGTCTGACAGCAGTTTGACTTTGTACCATCATTAACATTTATGGCAGCACAATATAATGCAAATGTGCCAGGAGTTGTGCATTGTTCACCACCATCCAATCCAACTGATCTGCTCCCTACAGTCAGGCAGGCAGGCTCAGGGCTTTACTCTAGAATTAGGATGACAGACTGGCTTTCTGCACTTCAGTGTGAGGTGAGATAGCAAAGCTGTGTGCTGAGGGAGGAAGCAGGCTGTGTGTGGAGGCTGAAAGGGCTCCTCACATGTACATCTTGACTTCTGCCTGCTGCACATGTAGGACCCAAATAATGGCAGCTGAGCCCTGGGCTGGACAAGCCCCTTATACTTGAGCAGGAGTAAACCATACATTAGGATCATTCAGCAAAACTTCACTGGTCTAAGTAGCCTGCTACAGTGAGCAACTGCTTCTGTGGATCTAAAATCTAACGCAAATCTCAAAGTCTCTTTCCTGCTTGAGGCAGAGTGTTCTCCCAACACCAGCCCCAAGTGCTGAGGGAGCCAAGTGCCCTGAGCACTGGAGGCTGCACAGGCTGGGCAGCACCTCACCAAGAACACTGACAGCACCTGCTGAAGAAGAGGGTGCACTGGGAAGAACCTAATAACACCTTAGGACTGAGGGCTCATCCCCACTGCTAACACCCCTCTTCCTACCCCCCAAGGCTGGTGGAAACACACCAAGCAGCTGCAGCCCAAGATGAGCTCAGTGAGAGCTGCTCAGGGCCACAGGAGAATTCTGTGCCTCTACAGCACAGCACCATCTCACCTCCTGGAGGACAAAGCCTGTGGCAAGTTTAAAGACATGGCTGGAAAGAGGCACCTGGAAACTTCTCCAGGGAAATAGCTTGCTTGTCAAAAGCAGCAGCAGAGGAGAGGCATTATGGCAGAGCTTACTTGTAAACAGGCAGCATTATCGGCAGAGGAGCTGCGAGGTGAGGAGCAATTTCAAGCAGATTTGCACGTTCTTCAAGTGCTTCTTTCACCATCCTGTACTGAAAAATAAGAGTGTATGTGGGAATCTCTCGCTATGCAGTTTTGTTTCCACGTGCAACACTTAATGAAACCCTAGCAAAGCCAATGCCTTGCATCATTTTTGCTGTTCTTTCAAAAACACACCAAGATCTGCTGAAAACTTCAAACATGCAGGGAAACATTTCACAAGAAAATGAAGTTTCACTAGTTCCTTCTCTGTGTCTTGGCAGTCAGTGGACTAATTTTTTCATTTGAAGGCAAAGTGCAACAAACTGTGTTACTCCCAACTACAGGGAGGCTCTTCAGGAGGGTCAGAACTCAGGAGTGTGGCTCCTGGGCTGATGACCACAGTTAAATCCCACACTAACTCCCAGCTGCACATGCAGAACCTTTCTTCTCCAAATCAATCCATACGAATCAACATGAAGTTGCTCTTAGGCAAAAGGAGGGTTGATTTCCATAGCTGGATAACTGAGTGTTTATGTATTTTTCCCTCAGAATTCACCGTTTTTGTAGCACTATTATAACCACTGAAACATACTTTAGAAAGGTTTCAATGAGAAATCAATTTCTCCAAACAAGAATATCACCCTTTGACCAATACAAGAACACGTAAAAGCATTTTTATATAATCACACGTTTACCATCTTTTCTTTCCAGAATAAGCAGGACAACAGTTCACTCCCCTAAACTCAGATCAAGGCAAGTAGGAAACTCTCTTTGTTCTGAAGTCAGCCCTGTCTCTGCCTGCCTTCCCCAAATCACACACAGTCTACAAGATATGGTGACCAGATTGCCCCAAAAAAAAGAACTCAGCAAAGGCAGCAGCACTGGTTTCCTCCAGCTGAGCTCCCCAGACCAGGAGGACACTTTCTATGTACAGTGGCTGTGGATTACAGCAGTCAAGTACTGAAAAAAATAAAAGGGAGACTTGGATATAATTGGGATAAGGGAAGTGTCTACTGGCAATTTTTGCTTAACAACCAGCATAAACAATTACCTGCTCAAAATCCAACTTCATGATGGCCTTCTGAAGATATCTCACTCCACCATGGATCAATTTAGTACTCCTGCTGCTGGTCCCTGATGAGAAATCATCTCTTTCTAGAAGGGCTGTTTTTAGTCCTGCGTTACCAGAAAACCAAATTAACTTCTTAAATTACACAATTTGTATGTAATTCATTAAAGACACTTCTCTAGGGTAGAGACAATCACAAGAAAAATTACTCTGTACATGGATAAATTTGTATTCAAAGTGTAGTGCCCTGTCTATATTGTAATGAAAAATTTTAGCCTCTTTCCTAAGGGAAAAGTCAAAACAGAACTTAAACAGAAGCACATTAAAACCTGGATATTCCACAATAGAAAGGCATTACAGTACATTATAGGGGCCACGCTCCCTCAAGCAAATTATAGTTGGTATTCACAGGAGGAACAGAATATTTTCAATGAATACTTTTAACCCTTTGCAGCAGAGAGCCCGAAACCCATGACAGGCACAATTTAACTGACATCTTCCTCTGCTGCCTTGCAGTCTGCTTCAGAGGCACCCAGAGGCAGAGGAGAGCCAGACAGGGGCATGCTTGGGCAGGGCTCCCCAGACACCACCAGACACACACAAAGCCTGTGCCACACGAGTTAGCATAACACACCCCCTTCCTTCCCTGGGCAATGTCAGAGCTAGGCAGGAAAGGCAGAAACTGAATTCAAGTCAGTGATGTTGCCACAAAACCCACCAGCAACAAGAAGGGGAGAAGAGCAGCACCTGCATGAGGAGTTACCCTGTGGGTCTAGCCTTTATGTTACTGGGTGGCAAAAAGGCATCTACACACCTATTGGTCTCTCAAAACTTTTAAATCCTTAAAAAAACCACAACTAATTACTACTGGTAACTTCCAGAGATCAGAGTAATTTATTTTTGTCAAATGTGACTGAAGATTAATGGATACCATCAGAAATAATTTGGCCAATATATATCAAGCACATGAAAAGCAAAATTTGTTGTTTAGCGAAGCAAACATAACAAAAGAGCAAGTTCCATGAATGAACAGCAACCACACACAATTCATTAACCAAATGCCTAGGAATATTTCACACTTCAGAAATCTACTGATGTAATCAGAATATCTGGTAAAAGAATAAACACAGATCACCTACAATAATTGCTGTATGCTTTTCAACTGCACTTTCTACTACAGTAGAGGCAAAAGTGAAAATATTCCAAGTTATCTTTAATAATACATTAAAAATAACCAGATTAGAGTCTGCATGCATCTACCAATGGTGGAGACCTTACTGCTTTATCTATCTCAAACTTATTTTGTCTTCTGGACAAGTATTTTGCAAATCAAGACACAAAACACTCCTGGAGTCAAGGTTTGTCTCTTAGTTCCAAGGCACAGCTACAGATTAAAGAATCTAAAGAACTTCATGGCAATCTACTGTGTTTTACAGGGTTGTGGTTTTTTTAATTTTAGTTCCAAAATCAGAAACAAGTTATTTCCACCTCTCTCCCTTTTTCACCCACTGAAAAGTTTTTCACACATCTGACCAACAGCACGAGCTATTGGGCGACAAGCTGCTGCCACCACACACATTCCCACCCTCCTGCAGAAGTCAGGTAGAAACCATCAGCTTCAACTGATTTTACCTTGAACTTTCCCTAAGTTAAGGCCATGCATACAGTTAACATCAATTCTGCTGCTTCTAGTACCCTCTTAAACCAATGCCACAGCTAATCCCCAGCAGAGGGGGAAGGGGAGCTGCACAGCGTGTGCCCCCACGGGGCAGTGCGAGCACTTGTCCTCCAGAATCCAAACACACTCCTCCCAACCTGCAACACACCTCGCAGCCACAGTGCGCTAGAAGAAGTTGCAGGCATCTCCTGTGGTAAGAAATACAAACTGGAGAGACACTGTGCCTCACCTAGAACTCACGCTTGGCCCTTTCAAAGCAGTTGCTAAAATCGCAGTGCAAGTCTTGTCTTCCCTTTGCTGCAGATTTTCACCTGCACAAACAGGTGAGGTGTGACTGCAGGTAAACTCGCTAGATAGGGAGCAACAGAGAATGACAAGTCCATCCAAGAGCATCCAGCTGAAAGGTTGATGTCATACAACTGCACGTAAGCACCTGGACAGCAAAGGCTCTGATGAAACTAAGTGCAATGACATTTTTTCTTCAAGTTAGTTTTAGCTCTTGGAAACAGAAGTTTTATAACCAAGCATTTAGAGTTCACCTTCTGTATCTTCGTGTGCTTCTGGAAAGCCAATCTGATCAATTTATTACAAACCATGTAATCCAAGAATAAGAATGTAATTAATTTTCAAGCCTTACCTCTAGTGACTGCATCCAAAGCACAGCCACATCCTGTTGCTCCCCCTCCTATGATCAGGACGTCAAACTCATCTGTGGATCGCAGTGCCGAAATTTGTTGCTCTCTTGTGGGGTATTGGCTCCTGACTGGAACAGGCACAGCTTCTGCAGCTTGAACATGCACAAAGGTACCCTACAAAGATTAGAAACAACCCATGAGGATCTGTATTTATTGTGCAGTCACACGTGTACACACACACAACCAAATCTCAGCATTTTCTAGAGCCATAAATGTAAACTCAAATATTCCCAGTCACTTTACCTATACTTAAGAATAATAATGCTATGTTAAAACTTCCTGAAGCAACAAACAGTAGTAAAACCACAAAGGGTTAGCACACACTTGCTTTATCTTGCCCTACTTCAATATACTGCTGTACTTAAGTGCTGCATTTCCCTTGGTTAGCTGCTGCACTGAGCCTGCTTTTTAGTGCTGAGCCATTGCCAGGCCTGCAGGCTGAGGCCCACTTCCCAGCTTCCCAAAATGCCACCCTGTGACTTGCAGACAACAGCAAGGAGAAGGGAACTGCAGGGACTGAAAACACCCCTGGCTTGGTTGGTTGGTTTACCGAGTTCAGCTCAACTTTCTTACGCTTTTTTAAAGTGAGAATTCCCATTCCCAGGTCAGCTTTGCCCTACGTCTCCAGACATGCCTTCTCCAGCAAAACAAGGGACTGTTTTCAAAGTGCACAACTTAACTGCAGAAAAATAAGGAGAACACAAGTAAAACAAAAAAATAACAGAGTTCAAGAAGCACTAGCATTGTTTGGTTCTGGCTATATTTTTTTGTTTGTTTTTAAACATTCTTTCCATGAAATGTCTTCCAGTCTAAGACAGACCCAGGTCCCAAGCAGCCAGCCCCTGGTACAGCCAGAGCACAGAGATTAGCACTGAAACACAAGCAAAGTGATTAGTGCACCAGGAATTGATACAGATATGATTCATCTTGCTGTCAATTACATGCGAGAGTGAAGAAAAGCTGCATACAGGGATTCCATCTGCAATAACCTGATTAGTTTGGCAGTGAACAAGTATGTTTACTGAAATAAGCAATTGCTGTTTATATCTACAATTTCTCAGGCAAGAGTTCCTTGAAGGGTTTTCATTACACTCTTAGCAAGGAGAAATTTAGTTTGGCAGTCTGAATTCAATCATAAAGTTATAAAGTGATCTAGTAATCCATAAGCAAGCATCTTGTTAATTTGTTAATGTAAATCTCCATGTTGGTTTGCAGAGTAAAATTCATCATCCTTACTCATTTAAAAAAAATAAATATAAGTAATTAAAAGCCCCCAAAGCAGGCCCTGATGCATTGTTGTATTATCATACTCTATTGGATCCCCCTTGATGAGCAATTCTCACTGACCAGCACTGTAGCTACACACCAGAAAGAGAGAAGGATTGCTCAGTGGGCTTAGGAAGACACAGCTACCTCCTGCAACTCCACACCAAGGCAGTGCTTTCTCCCTTAGTGATTACAGGGAGGGGGAAAGAAAAATCATCATCAGTGGTTCCCAATTCAAATTTGGCACATCGAAGAATGCCCACATCACATCTAGTACTACACCCAATGGCTCAATGCGTTACAATGAAGGCACAAAAAGCCAGAATGCAGCAGTTCAGTCTCTACAGGGAGCAGGAGAACCTGGTATTTCCATTTCTCTACCACCGTTAGTGTGAGAAGTGCTGGTGAAACACTGGCAAAGGCTGGGCTGCATCACCTCTGCCATTCAGGTGTCGGAATATCTGAAGTCAAATGAATCAATTAATTATATACACTGCCCAGGTATTTTATGTCTCAGAGGAGTCCAACTGCATCTCAGATGCAATTCTTCTTTCAGGAGCTTGTGAATGGTAGTCAGTGTAGTCTACATGGATTTGAGAGTTCCTGGATTGACTGAGATTAAATGAATTTACAATGATAGCACTGAAAAAAACCATAACAGTCTATGCACATTTTTTGCTTTACCCAGGAACAATTTAGAAGGGACTAGCTTCTTCACACCTCTGCACTACCTGCTAACAGAAGAGCTCCCCAACTGTCTCCTTTTCTCTGGAAATGAGTTTTTCTTGTTAATCTAACCAAAAGCCTTCTTGTCAGACTTCAGCATCTGCCCTCAACAGCCCAAGTCGCTAAGACTGCAGAGAGAGCTGGGCCAGCCTCCTTAAGGGAATAGTTATTCAACAGGAAGGAACCACTCCTGTGTGTTTACTGAGAGAGGTTTTGCTTCAATTACTGTAATTTCTACTTATTCTCTTACACATAACATCAAGCTAACCCAGCTTATTCATTCAGTAAATCATCCCAGTGATCTGTTTACTATAAAAGACACAGAAGTGCAGCGTTCATCTATCAGCTTATGAGCTGAATCCAACAATAATTCCGTCATGTCAGCACGTGTTCCCATCCTTCCTGTCCTCAGCAGGGACTCTGTGCTGTCAAAAGCCCAACAGGGAAGAAGGGCAATGTGCTAACTTGCTTGTGTGCCTGCATCTGCCACACACAGAGAGACAGTCTCAGGTTGTACTGCCTCACTATGGCTGCAGAAACACGATCCAGCACACGTGTGTGTGTTTGTGTGTAGAAAAGTAAGTTGGGATTAAAATCATTGCATCAGTAAAGTTGAAAAAGACATCTAAAATCATCAAATGCAATCAGCAGCCCAATACCACCATGCCAACTAAATCATGCCCTGAAGTGCCATGTCTACATGTTTTTTTTTAACACCTCCAGGAGTGGTGACTCCACCTGGGCAGCCTCCCCTGAAAACCAGGACACATCTGAAACAAAAGAGCACTTTCTTTCCAAGGGGCAAACACTTCATAGTTGATCACATGCAGACAAGGTCAACCAAGGTGACTGTGCCATTATTCTCAGTCAGGCTCTGACTCTCTAACCTAGCACAGACAATTTTGATTTCAACACCAGAAACTGCCAACACTCATCCCTTTCAGCAGGCCAACCACTCACCAGTAAGCTCCACTAACAAAGCCAAGTGACCTCCCACCTATTCCGAAGGGCCAGAACTTCACCACCCTTCAGCTTCTCCCTTGGAAGTAATTCCACTGGGACAGCCAAGTTTCACAGAAGCTTCAACCAACCGAGTGAAGATGGAAAAACAATGACAGATCAACCAGACTGTGTGTTCAGGATTGTCAGCCAGCTCAGGTCTTTGTTCTGGAACTGGGTGCCCCCAATGCCAGGGTGTGAGCCACAGTACAGACACCCAGTAACTGAGTGGATTAGCACAAACATGGGCAAGAAACCAGAGCACTTCATTTCTGTCTTGCTCTGATGGGCTTGGTTTTTGAAATAACAACAGATTTCCTACAATGTGTAGCCAATTAGTGCACATCTTGGGGCAATATCCTTCTCTGGCAAAGGCAGACGAGATCTTTGCCCTAGCATATATTTGATTGGCAGGCATTATTAAAAAGAGGACACTTGGGCTGGGGGACATGCCCACAGCTTAGATATGTCAACACGACAAATGGACTGTCCTCCTTCGTGTCAATCCCTTCAGTTATGTTCCACCTGCTGCCCTATATTAGGTGTTTAAGGCAGCAGCTTTGAGGGACATCACGTGGGCAACGTGCAAGTTGGTACAACATGAAAACAACATGCTGTTCACTTGACAGACCCATTTGCTTACACATATGCTGGGAATTTTCAGACCCTGTGTAGACTGATCCTACACAATAGGCTTAGACATCGGGGGACCAGTGGTTATTCATTCTGACACCATGATTGTCTTCTGTAAAATTCTGGGTTTTAACCTGTCTCTGGAAACTCAGAATGGCCATCCATGCCCAGAAAACTGGGAATTCCCTGAAGCCAGGAATATCGCAGGTACAACGAGTGAGTTAGTCAGATCTCTTTTCCCTTCCAACTCTTCTTATTTAACAGTCCTAACATGTGAAGCTGCCATTTCTGACAGTAATGAAACCAGATTGTAAAATCCTGTGATAAAGACTCCAAAGAGTTAGAAGCAGGATCAGCAACAAGGTGCAGGGCAGCCCAGTGGGAAGCTCACTTTAAATGCTAGTTTTTATTTTCTGCAACGGCATCTGAAGCCAGAAGGATCCTGGCTTACCCACTGCTTTCCAGCTAGGATCACCAGAAATGACTCATCTCACTTGCTTTACCAAGACCTCAGCTGCTGCTCCTCCTCCCCATAGAAACAGCCAGAAGATTTAGAATATCATTTCTTCAGACATCACCTTCATGGAGCTCAGTGAAGCCTCTCATCACCCACTATTTCACCTACAACTAGACCATTAAGATCCACTTCTGTTCCTGTTTTGGTTTGCCCAATTTGAATGGCAACTTATAGTAAATGTGTGGTAACTAAAGCAGTTCAGAGTAACAGCTTGTCTAGATGAAGAGCTGACTGATTCCATTTCTAAGGTGAGAATCGGAAAACACCACACAAAATGGGCACCTGCTCACCTCGCTGCTGGGACTGATACCACCTCAAAAGGAGGAGAAGGGGGTTCCTTGGGCTGAAGCCTTTTCCAAACCCAGACTGAAGCAAACCAGGCCAGAGCTCTGACTACATGTAAATCATCCACTTTATGGGACACTGATTGCAAATGTTTTTGGCCAGCCTCACAGCCCACATTCAACACAAGATGAGAAGACATGTTCCTTACACACACCTTCTAAGCCCAGACATGGTTATTTTATAACTCTAAAGCACAACTGCATTAAAACAATGGGCACTGATTTGCTTTAAGACAAAGAGGAGTTGTTGATCCACACCAGCTCTGCCTAAAACCAGTCCACAACTCATGTTCCTTTTACTGATTTCTCCTTGGCTTCTGGATCAAGAAGCAAGATAGAGATGATGGCAACTACAACTCCACTGCAAGAGGCAGCTATGACAATGAACTCTGTTTTCTACAACAGCAAGAACCAATGCACAAACTGACAGCAGAATCTACTGCACCTCTTTCTGCTACCCCTACTTCCCTTTAACAGCAACCCTCCAACACCACCCCTCACTGCCCAGGGAATTTATCCTTAGTTACCTGGAAGGCAGCACTGGACTGTGCCCAGAGCTTACCAGTGCCCAGGTTGTGCCCACCCAGAAGGAAGGCCTCGCCATGGACTTCTCTGGCACAGATCCCATCCTCCAACAGTTTTCAGCTCTTGAACTGAAGAAGAGCTGCCACCGTGGCTGTTCTGAAGCTTAGATTTTCAGAGGTTGTCCTAGTGAACCACAGAATGCCAGGTTGGAAGGGACCTCAAGGATCATCTGGTCCAACCTTTCTGGTTTCACTTCAAGCTTCTAAGTTTGGAAATACTGTCCAAACTCTACTTGGTGTTTCTACTTCAGTCAGTACTTTCCACTCCTCTCATAACTCCGTAAAATCCCCAGTGGTACACAAAGGTCATTTTCTAAACATGAGGAATAAGAATCTCACTTCCCCACTGGTTACAGATCCACAATAGTGAAACATCCTTTAATGCCATCCTCCAGATTAGCACCTACCAGATCAAGCTGAGAGGCTCTTGGCATTCCTTTCCTAACAAAACTATTCCTATAAACCTAACATACGCTCTAACAGATTTTAAGTTTCATATTTTATCAGAAATCATAATTAATACTTACGTGTTTGTTTCTATACTGAGAAAATTGAGAGAGGCCAAAAACTGTTGCTATGGCACCTCCTCCAATGAGAGCAGTTCCTTTCACTGCCTTCTGAAATGCCATTTTGTACTGTAAGAAAAGATAAAAATTAATAGGCAGTTTTACCATGTTAGAATCTCAGCTACACAGAATAGACCATTCGCAGAAACTAATGACAATGTTGTGACAAGTTGAAACTTGGGGTAGCAACATATTAATTAGTGATTTTCATTGCAGTATTAATAATTTCTAAACAAAGTCTAGACAGAGGCAAGCCAGAGTGCTTGGGTATTTGCTGTGAAAGCCGAACAACAGAAGAGTGTTTGGATATACAACTAGATGTACACACACCACCCACTTCAACTCTAAATACTCGTATATGTGACAAGTGCTCACAACACTGGCAAAAGGAGACCAAGAACACCCTGTCATCAGCCAGATGGCCACCAAATCCTCCTCCCAACAGAACAGCTGATCTGCTTGACAAGATCACCTTTAGCTACCCTCCCATCCCATCACACTATTTCTACAACTACGTTTGCACTCCATACTGCTTTCCAGCCAGGAATTATGATCCCCAAGTTCCCCGTATGGCAGTAAAGCTTGTCCTACCCAGGAACGGCGGAGAAGCGATGCACTGCTGCTCAGGAACCAGGTCCTTCAGAGAAAAGCAGCCACAGAGACAGTGGACAAGATTAAGAGGCTTGAAATAAGCACAAAACTTGGCCATCTAGGTACAGAGGGCTTTAAACCAGCCCTATGTGGGTCAGGAAAATTCTTCAAAGAGCCAGTGTTTGGGTACTGAATGAAAGATTTGCATGGAACTGACCTGAATCTTAAGCAGGCACAACCCAGTCCATCTCCCCAGGGCCACAGCAAGCTCGTATGGCAGCAGAAACAACAGACACCAAGTCTGAGGGACACCTGGGGTTGCCCCAAGCTCCCTGGCCATGAAGCCATTTTTGTCCAAGCCCCACATTCCCCCAGCAGCTTCCACACAAATCTCCAGCAGCCTTCAGGCTCAAAGCAGAAGCGGGCAGTGTGTGCAGCCTCGTGACAAGGCTGGAAAACCAGGGGACTCGCAATGTGGCAGGAGTGGCCCTTGCTCAGCAGCAGTGAGCTGTGGTGGCCATGTGGGGCTGGGCAGGGGGGGTCCTGGTAGCCTCCTCTAGAGCTAGACTGGAGCAAGCAGCCCTTGCCTTGGTCCCTGGTGAGGCCCCACAGGCTGTCCCTGGCCCAGCACACTGCTGCTCCTGGGGCTGTGCCACCTGCCCTGCTGCCCATGGAGCCCCACACACCAGCTGGGGTCTCCACCACCACAGCTGGCATCAGGCAGCTTGCTTGGCCAGACTCACAGCAGGCTGCTCACAGCTGAAGAGCTCTTCCTCTGGCCTCATAAATACCATTAAACAGGAAACCGTGTGCTACTGCATGTCTGTACACATTGCATCTTTTTTTTCCCATTAGTTCTTCCAGCTATCATAGAATCATTCTGGTTGGAAGGGACCTTGAAGATTATGAAGTCCAATCACAACCTAAGTCCCCCAACCATAACCTGACTTACCCATTCAGTGCTTAAATCATGTCACTGAGCACTATATCTGAATGTCTTTTAAACACTTCCAGGGATGGCGACTCCACTACCTCCCTGAGCAGCCTGTTCCACTGCCCAACAGCTCTTTTGGCAAAGAAATTCTTCCTAATATCCAGAAAGATGTATCCCTATCTGAGTGCTTTGTCTTTAAAAATACACCGAACATGCGTAAGACACAAGCCCAACAGGACAAGTCCATGTTTAGGAGAGCACACTCTCTCCCTCCCCTGAACACCTTGCTTGCAGCACCCTCGCTGCAGGGGCTCCACCAGCAGTTACTGGACAGACTCTGGTGGGCAGATGTTGCAGATGTGCACTAGATGCAAGTGACTGTTGTACAGAAGGCTGGCAGCTTCCCACAGGATTTTCTGAAGAGCAGCACGTTTGCTCTTGAAGATCTCCACTGTAACAACGTTTCTTGCTATGTATGTAGAGCATCACATTTTCCGTTTACTTTCTATTTTGGTCTCAAAAAAGAACAACTTCATCTTTCCTTTACACAATGACAGGAAGGAATAAAAAGGGAAGGCAACAACCCCCCCATGCAGCAAGGCAGGTTTCTCAAAGGGAAGTTACTGTGGAGACCTGGCCTGAACAGCCACAGCACTCCCACAGAAACAGGGAGTGAGCCTGGAGTCAGAGGTCTGGGACCTTGCGTCCAGCACGAGCAAGCAGCAGGACACAGCTCCACAGAGCACACTATGCCCAGGTGCCACCAGCACACATGGCCACATCCACCCCTACACCTGCCCTCCCACTCACCTGGACCAGCATCTCCTGCAGGATAAAAGAACTCCCGCCCCATCTATAGCCACACAAGTATGAGGCTTCCTCGAGTCGCTAGAATAATAACTCATCCTTCAGACTGCAAACTGGTGGCAGCCTTGAGGTAGTTTCACACACATTAGGCATCAGCAAAGGAGTCACTTGAAATAAAGAGTATGAAACCCTTGCAAGTGCCTGTTCTGGGAACACAATATGCTCTAGAATCCAAGGGAGTTTAAAAAGAACAAATTAGCATCTTCCAGCAAGCCAGCTCACACGTCTGCAGACACTGACTCTCAAGAAAACAAGTGCAAGTGCATCCTTTCAGTGTGCTACCAAGCTCAGGAAGAAAGGGTGATGGCTGAAGCACAAATCCCTGCTCACCCCAGCTCAAATGAACTCTTCAAAAGTTCAATCATGAAAGTTGGAAGGGACCTTAAAGATCATCCAGTTCCAACCCCCCTGCCATGAGCAGGTAACCACTAGACCAGGTTGCACAAAACCTCATCCAACCTGGCCTGAAAAACTTCCAGGGAAGGGGCATCAACAACCCCCCGGTCAACCCATTCCAGTTCCTCACTACCCTTAGAGTGAAGAATTTCTTCCTAATATCTAACCTAAATCCCCCCTTTCTCAGTTTAAAACCAAAACCATTATCAAACTAGGCCAGAGCCACAGCCCAGCAGCTGGTGTTCTCTGGCCAGTGCAGTCCCACAGGCTCCCAGCCAAGTGCTGAGCACCCTCCCCTGTGCAACCAGGCACCTTCCACCTGTGGGACAACCCTGCAGGCGGAGGCTGCAGAACCAGGGCACCTGAAAGCACAGCTGACACTCATCCCTACTTCTTCTTCCCCCTAAGCCTCTGCTGAGCCTTCATTCTGACCAGCAGGTACATACCCGCCGGAGTTAAACCAGTGCATTCTCACTGAGCAGGATGGCAAGGGCAGCACCAGGTATGCAAACCACTGACTCAAGGTCCCAGGGATCATTGTCCACACCACTTTACTTTTAAAATGCAGTTTTGGAAGCAATTTATTTTTGTTTTTAAAATAAGAAAATTAGGATCTTCAGACTCTGTTTTCAGCTGGGCCTTTTTAACAAGCATTTTATTAATACTTCTGAAAAAAAAAATAAATTGAAGTTTTTAAATCTGAAAAAAAATAATGTAGCTCTGTCTTTTATTCAGTTGACCTTTATATCTTTAGTTATGGATTAAAAACCCTGACTGCATCAACCAAAATCTAACATTTCCTTGTCAAGCACCCTAGTAATATCATTGCATGTATGAAGAAAATAAAGCACAACTTTCCCCCAAGTTATGCAGTAGATTCCTAAGCTGTTTGGACAACAATGCTGCACAAAACTGTAAAAGCAATCCAAAGGAATGGACTCAACACCGAGTGACACAGACAGCCTTTGCTATTTTTCAGTACTTTGAAGTATCTATTCTTCTGATAATTTTTTGTGTTAAAATAACCCTTGAACAGAACACGCTCATGTACTGAGTAAGAGCTGTGCTTGGCCAGTGCTGGGAAATAAGATAATGACTCACATTACACTTGCTCTTCGTGCTCAGAGAGCTACATCTCCTTCATTTTCATCTCCCAACAGGCCTCTGCAAATAGCAGGCACACACCCAAGGTCTCTGCTTTCAGCTGCTTCAGCTGAAGGAGCTCCGTGTGCCATTTTGGTAGCAGCAACCTGCCATGCCAACAGACCTCTCACAGCACTACCCTCCTGCTGTACTCACAGGTGCTGACAGGCTGCACAGTGTTAGGGACACTGTAGGTTCTCATTCATTATCTAGAATAAGCACTAGGCCTTGCAGGTAAGATAATTTGTTTAAACAAGCAAGCAACAAAAACAAGCGCCCTGTGCCCCCACAACGCTTACTTTGGTCCAGAAAGCTTTGGAGCATCTGTCCCCAGCTCTAACGCAATACTACAGAGGTAAGGAAACAGATTTTATTTAACAGTTTCCTACATAAAATCTCTTATTAGGAGCCCAACAAACTCCATTGCCAATTGCATGCAGTAAATATCCCTTCATGTTTATAAATACAGGATAGTCTTCAGTGAAATGACTATCAAAATCAAACGAAAGGTCAACTCAAGACTGGTTTCTTGCAAAGTCTGGATGAGATACAAAACCTTTAGAGTGGTGGTGTCTGTTTACCAGCCTTTTGGCATACTAACCTGCTCCACCCTCAAATTCCTACCAGTGAAACTTACCACCCTCCAGACCTGGCACCAGCAGCCCCAAGAGGTCTGCAGAGCTCCTGGGGAACCTGGCAGTGCTGAGGCGCTGGGAGAGCCCTTGCCTGCCTGCTTCCTCACCTGGAGCCAGGCACAAATGTGCACTGATAACAAGGGGGAAAAAGGTACCCAAGGGTACCCATATGCCAGGCTGGACACTGCTGCAGTGGAGTACCTGCTTCAAAACCAGCCAAGGCAATAAGCTGGGGGAGGATCAGAGTGGACAGCCGAGTGGCCCTCACCACTGTTGCCCGTTTGACACCCTGAGAGTACAAGTGTGGCTGCACACAGGCTGTTACAGCTTGATCTGGCTGCCCCACAGCTTCCTCCCACAAACAAGTACCAGCTTTTTACTGCCCAGATGAGGAGAGGCAGAGCACCCTGACTGCCCCTCTGCACCCACAGCCTGGCTGCAATGACCCCAGGTGCCAGCATGACCGAGCTCCTGGCACCACTGCAGCAGCACCAAGGCTCAGGAACACAGGGA